CAAGAGGAGCAGTAACTGGTGCTGTGGCCACACTGTGCCCTTGGGGGCCCTGCACAGAGCAGGCTGGGGGAGTCCTGCAGTAAATGGACAAGAGATACGTGTCGATTATCAGGCATAAGGAACTTTGCTATTCTGTTTTTCTTGCTAACAGGTATTGTCACATGTTGGCTGCTGAGTAAGCCACATTTGGTTGTGTTAATATTCCCCGGCAAATGTAAAAGTCATCCTCCTTCCCTAAAATGAATCATTTTAAAGAACTTCTATGTAATAAGAAGAGGAGATGGAGACTTTTGTGTATTGTTAGCCACCTCAGAGCTCACCTGCTTTTCTGGCTCCATTATGTGTCAGCTTACCTTGGTGCACTGCTGTTGCTAATGCATTTCACCAGAGCAACACCAGAATTTTGAGCTTTAACAAACAGCGGTGTTTGTCATCATTTATTTGAATTTTAAAAACAATTTCATGGAGCTGTGGTTCAATTTTGTTGTTGGTGGTTTTTTAAGGTAATTCACTGGCTAAAAAACCCCAAAGCCATGCTCCAGTAAAACCCCCTTATAGTTCAGAGATTCACAGAATGGTCTGAGTTGGAAGGGACCCAGAAGGATCATGGAGTCCAACTCTAAATGGTCCATACAGGACTTGAACCTACCTGGTGTAAGCAGCACTATGCTCTGACCAGCTGAGATAATCTCAGGGCTGTTGGAGCACAGCTGAATGCCTTGCACTGATGGCTCCTTTTAATGAACATTCCTTATGCATTGATGTTGTAACAAACCTCATGGAACTCAGCACATGTTTTTTTTTAATGATTAAAAAATCCTGTTGTATCTGTTCAGTTCAAAATATTCCTTCTTTTTCAGGTTCCTGTTTCCAATTACCACAATCCAGTGCTGGAGTTGGCTGCCTATGATCAGCAAGGCAGGAAATTTGATAACTTCAGCTCCCTTAGTATTGTGTGGGAATCCACAAATAAGGCCATTGCTCGTATTGAGGCGGAGCTGCCAATGGAGCTGACTCTGAAGGAGGAGAGCAATGGTCAGAAGAAAATGCATGGTATGAGTGGGTTGAAATGAGCATTTCTTTGTTTGAAGGTCCAGATTAAATCTGTTGGGCAGTGTCTGATCTTGATTAAAGAAATTACTGTAATCTGCAGTCATACTTCAGTTTAACATCAATGTGCATTTTTTAGTGTGTGCTATTAAAGAGAGGAGAATAAAGGAACTAAGTCCAATGTCTAGAACCTGTGTTGAGAGAGAAAGTTCTTGTCTGATGAGAATGAGCCTAGAGGAGCTGAGTGTATTTCTCATCTTTGTTGCATTCTAGGCTTACAAACTGTGGTAGCTGACCGTGAGTTTGGAACTGCTGCCATCTCTGCCACTGCCACTGGATTCCAGCAGCCCCACCTGAAGGCAGCCAGAGCCCAAACACCGGTAACAGTACCTGNTGAGTTTGGAACTGCTGCCATCTCTGCCACTGCCACTGGATTCCAGCAGCCCCACCTGAAGGCAGCCAGAGCCCAAACACCGGTAACAGTACCTGGGGGGATTTGCCATTTCCCTGTGGTCAATGCCCAGTGTTCTGGTGGCTTTATTTCCCCCCCCCCACAGTACTGTACAAATCAGGCAGCTCCCTGGTGCAGTCTGGTTCATTCTGCAGAGGTTTGATACTGGTTCATGGTTTTCCTGCTTTCCTGTGCGCTAGGTGCTGCTATCCAAATCAAATTTGTCCAACTCTTTGGGAGATTTTTAACCATCTGAGCAAGGGCATTACAGAGAAGTGTTTCAGTTGGTTTTGTTTCCGTTTAGGGTTTTTTAATGAATCTCTGCTGCTTGTCCTTCACTAAAGCAGCCATGTGCTTCATGCAGCTGTCACTGGGGAAAGCAAATGGATTATTGCCCCTGCAGAGCTGGGTGGGAAAGTTCTGCATGAGCAAAGCAAAAGCTGACTGATTCCTTATATGGCCCATGTGTTATTCTGGGCTCTGACTGATGCTCTCTTTTTTTTTTCTTTCTGATGCCAGCCATAAGCCCAGGCTCTCATTTTAAAAGTCATTCCCTGAAATACTTAGTGTGTTGATACTCAAGCTAGGGAAGAAAGACAGTAAAAGGTGATGATGATGAGCAAAGAGGGCAGGTGTAAACAGCTGGCAGTTTTCTGTTTATGTCACTTTTGTAAGCTGAATATAAGGGCAGGTTTCAGCCTGTGGAATAACCTGACATGTGCAATAACTGACTCTTAAAATATTCTGCTTCCTAACTGTAATTTCTGTTTAATCTTGTTAGCAAGATTTAAGTGGATTTGAACTATATGCAGTACCTTGAAAACATACTTGAGGCAAAAAGTTAAATATGCACTGAGAGGTTACAGGGTTTACCTCAGAGCAGGTAGCAGATGGGCACCAGTAATGTGAAATATTCTGTGGGCCAGGTTCTTCTCAGCTTGGCCCAGGTGTGGCATCTGCTTAGTAAATTCTTTGAGAGGTGATCTTTTTTGCCAC